GCTTATATTCAAATCATTAAAGATATGTAAGTAGGAGCTATTACTTGTGTTAAAACACAAGGTGGTTTGAGCAAATGTTTTCCTATTTCGGTTGGATTACATCAAGGTTCAACCTTAAGTACATATCTTTTTTGCTTTAGTCATGGATGTTCTCACTAGACATTTGCAAGAGGATGTACCTTGGTGTATGCTTTTTGCTGATGATATTCTTCTTGTTGATAAGACTAGAGAGGGAGTTGAAAGTAAACTTGAATTATGGAGGTCAACATTAGAGACTAAAGGTTTTCGCTTGAGTAGATCTAAAACGGGATATATGGAGTGTAATTTTAGTAGTAATAGACCTTGATGAGGACATCGAAGATCAACGGCTATGATCGTATCTATTTATTTTGATATATTTTATGTATTTGATTTGTTATTGTACTTTTCCCTTTCTACCCTCACTTGAGGGCTTTGTCTTATGTTTGTCTAGGGGCAATTGTGTCTTTTTATTTTCATTCATGTATTTGACTATTTAAGCCTTCTCCCTCCTCTTGGAGAGGGATGATGATTATTGCTAATGAAAATTTTGGTTTTGGATCACTTTGTGAGTTATAGAGTTCTCTTTGTGAGTTCTCAAGTGAGGAAAGCCTAGGGGAGGCTCAAAGCAATACCTAACAACCCCTTGGTGAAGCTCTTGATTTTCTACCTAATTTATTTTCTTCCCTCTCCCCTAGCAGCTGGATCTTTCCCCAACACCCCTCCACTTGGCCGGTCAACCACCCGGCCCCTTCCCCTTTTGTTCCCTTCCACAATTTCACCCCCAGCCACCCATCCCGCCGTCCCCTTCCAGCCATACCACCGGCTGGAGCATCTGCCAGCCCGACAACCCCCATCCCGCCGTCCCTCTCAACCTCCCAAGCATGCCGCCGACCATCACATGCTTTCTCCTTTGAATTTCAAATTCCATTGAGTAAATTAATTTCCTCAAATAGCCTTTCTCTATTTAGGAAAGTCAATCAATGGACATGAATTCAATTTTGAAATTCAAACATATTTCCCTCCATTTCACTAAATTGGGAAACTTACTTAAATTAGAATAAATCTGAATTTAAATTCAGATTTGATCTTAATTTAATTATTCCCTTGAACCCCACCTATTTAATACCAAGCTCCTCTCTCTCCATGTGGCCGGCCACCTCTCCCTTATTGTTTTCTCTCTAATTGCCACCTCACCACCACTTAAATACCTCTTTAATGCCTCCTCTCACATATTTACTTCCAGATTTCATCAATTTTAATTTCAGATTTCAAAAATCTGAACTTGAAACGGATCCTCTCCCTCCCCCATCTCCATTTATTTCAAATATCAAAATTCGAAACTCTCCTAGCCTAATTAATTCAAAATCTGAAATTAGGTTCAGATTTTGAAATAAAGTAACTCCAAACTCCTCACCTTAGCCGACCCTCTCCCTCTCCACCCTATCCTACCACCGGCCCTCCCTCTTCTCCCCTTTTGCTTCAACAAGCTCAAGGGCTCAAGAAGAGAGTTCTCCACATCAATGTATGGCCGACCCCGATATCGACCACGGTTTTGTCTTTGATGATCAAGGAAGGATGGATAATACGTTGGATGCTCACTAATCATCCCATGGACTACCCGCCACCGGCTACCACTCCAACGGACGACACTTTGGCACCATTTGTCTTTGGGTAAACTCTTCCCCCGACTCTTTTATCTTCGAAGTGCTTCTCAATTGTGGGCTAGTAGATTCATGACGATCCCGTTAATGCTTCTCCTCTAAAGCCTAGTAATTAGAAGAGTTGTGTGAAGGATCTTCTTGTAGCAACTAATCTCACTGTTTGTCTAGGGATTCATCGTTGAAAACCAATCATGTAAGCATCATTAGATTAAATTGAATGTTTTACGATCTTAACTCCTTTGTATGTGATTTAGCTTAAGCTCGTTTTACCGTTCTTAATGTTTTATCTCGTCGTTCAAATCATTATAAAGGTATAATTATTTGTTCTCTCTAAAATTAAGCGTGCAAATTCATCAAGTATATCATCTTTGCATGTACGTTTCACATCAGACCTAGTGAGGGGATTGTGACTTTGGGCGATCAAGTCATTAATAAGAGTACACATTTTAGATATCTTGGATCTATTGTTCGGAGTGATGATGAAATTGATGGGGATATTATCAGCAGAATTCAAGTTGGATGGTTGAAGTGGAGGAATGCATCGGGTTTGTTGTGTGATAGAAAAGTACCCCTCAACTTAAGGGAAAATTCTATAAGATGGTAGTGAGGCCTGCAATGCTTTATGGTGCTGAATGTTGGCCATTAAAAGAGAAGCATAATACTAAGTTAAATGTGGAAGAGATGAGGATGCTCAAGTGGATGAGTGGATTTACCCTTAGAGATAGGATACAAATGAGCATATATGTGTAAAGGTTGGAGTAGCTCTAGTAGAAGATAAGATTAGAGAGAGTCGCCTTAGATGGTTTGGTCACATAAAACGGCGGCCTTACAATGACCCGGTTAGGAGAGTAGAGGTATTAGATTTGACTTATGTTAAGAAAGGTAGAGTCAGACCTAAAAAGACTTGGTTAGAAAATATTAGGAATGACCTTTCTTTA